GGATGATCGTGTTTACAGCTCGTACCAATTCTGTCTCGTTTATGCTACCGAAGAATGTCACGAGAGGAGGCCCGTGTCTAGGATATCTAATCATCAATGTAAGGTAGATAACTTCGTGTTCATTCTTGCCCAACGGTTCCTCCATCTCTAGACGAATTATGTTTAAACAGTACCTTGTGACAACTAGGTCTAACAGTGAGGGTCTCTGTTGTCCTCGGTACCGCGTTGCTCTTTTCACGTGCTGTGATGTGCTTCTAACAATTCCCACCTTTACTGATACTACTGGCATCCGTCAACCACACTGTGATACTGTCTGTCTGGATACTATTGCCTTCCTATGATATCAGAGTCCTCAAGCCTAATATCCGAGGAACCATTTCGTGTGACGCCTGCATTAAGCTCGCGAAAATGGTGGTGGTCAAGTGGGTTGTATGCTTAAGTCCTAGCTTTGCGGTCCATGATTCGACATAGTTGATCTGCTGACGAGATTCAACGATGTCCATACAGCTATCCAGTGCTTCCTAGATGTTCAGTTTACACTCCATTCGTTATGTGAACAATAAAAGTTACCATATGGATAGCAATTTCTAAGTAAGAATCTGCCACGAGCCTAACATGAAAGTGACATGATTGAAAATCAACGATATGTCACATCTAGTTTCTGATCGTGCAATTTATGATGTTGAAGTATAGTTGCTGTACCCTGAGGCGGCTGTTAGACGTTGAAGCTCTTGAGGTGGACTAGGGAAAAGGTATCTGCTAACTGTGTGGTTTTAGTGTGGAAAGCAAGAAATACGTGAAGGAGAACCATGTGGATTCGAGATCTGGGAAATTGGTATGAAAATAACACAGAACGAAGAGGATGTCGCTCTGAATAGACCGGGGCAAATTGCATACCGCAACATACCAATGGGGAAATGGAGAATCGCTGAAATATCCAGCGTTTTAGGTTGAACAGAACTGGATCAAGTAGATGGGTGGATGACTACTAACTGTGTGTGTGCTCAGTTCAAAGTCTGGTACCGATTGGACCGTTTTGATGATGACCCATCCTAACAAAATTCACATCTGCATTGTAAAAAGAAATGCGTATGTTTTGTTATAGTGATATGATTATAAAGCACTGGAAACGAACTTTTCACTCCTTTTGTATTCTATTTAGACAAAATGGCCTATTCGTTTCATGAAATTATCACCTGTCTGTTATTTGGTCAATTATAAAGGGATCATCATCATCATCATCGTACAGCGAAATACAGAGAAGCGAACTTCACTGATCGCTGCCAAACTCGCAATGCATATGCATTGGGGTTTGATGGACGGGTGTTTAGCCACTAAGCAGGAGCAGGATGATGGTGCACATCGTTTGACTATTTCCCAAAACAGAAGGAAAACACAAAATCTGCATGGTGAAACGGACTTTTTATTCACACCATCGTCGGAAACATTGGGTACATTTTAACCTAATTTTTACCTTTTGTACTAGTTTGAATTGTTTCTCTAAAAGTGAACAGTTCCCTTCTCAGAGTATGAAAACATTTGCGTACAAACTTCAAATTGATCAGTACTATTTCATTGCCTACCCGATGTGATGAATAAAGTTACGCAATGATCTCGGCTGATATTTCCAGTGCTTGTTACTATTGATCGTGTTCCCGTTTGTCCTACGTACCATATAACGCGAAGCGCCGGTGGGGGGCGGGGGTTCTGTATAACCTCTGTCGCTGTCACATCCATTGCCGAGTAGAAATTCGACTTGTTGTGTGTCTTCTGCATCGGCTGATCCTTTGCATCAAATAACGGTTTTTCAAATTGTCTGATGAGTGGTAGAATATTTTTGGTGTTCGGTGAGAATGAGGATAATTACCTTAACCCCTCACCCCCCCCCCCCCCCCCCAAGAAAAACGGATCACGAGCGGTAAGGCAAACGACAAAAAGAACATCTACTATGGCAGCATTGCACATCAGTTTCTCTAAATCGCCTGAAATTCGTCTTCATATCATAGACAAGTTGTCCCCTCAGGCCATATCCACGTGCATCGACTTGTTTAGTTGCTCCGGTGGATTGAGGTATATAGGCCGTACAACAAGACAACTATCAAGAAGAACAATAAACTCGTTGACTGGTACACAGAGAAATGAGGACAGCGAAAAGCACGATACATCGACACCTGCTCCACAGTGATCACTAAGTGGACGTAAGTCGACCGATCAAAACTGTTTATCGTATTTCACCGTTATCGTTTAAATCAGTATGCTTTATCCTACTGCGTACGGCTGAAGTAATCGCAATCAACCAAAACTGATTGGAGTGTGGTAACTGGAAGAACGTCGTAATAAGTAAAATATTGACGCACTTGGGATTGTTAGGTTGCACAGTGTAATAAGATCCACTTCGTATGTAAATAGTCAGTTGATGAATTTATCGAAAAACACCCGGTGTTTTGCCTATTGGATTTTACTTTCAAGATCCCAATGAACGTTTTCCATATAATGCAAAGCAATTTCACGAATCTACTACCCATTCGTTGAGCAGTGACTCTGAACACTGAATCCACTACGGATCCCTTAATTTCCTAAACATTTGCGTTAGGAAAACCCAGTTGGGGAACGTGCGTATAAAGTTTTCGCTCGACAGGAAAGACCGAAAAGAACCATTATTCAAGGTTTAACCGCCACTGGTAATCGTATAAACTACCTTAAAAGAGTGTTCAACTAGCTCTACCTTACTTAGGGAAATTTTACTCACTATAAACGTTCCCACTTATCCATCTATTAAAACATAATTTGCACATGCTCACGAAACCACAAAACACCTATCACAGTCCATTAACTATTCTATGAATGAGCAAAGCTTGAAATGAACCAATGAAAGCTATTCAACACAGACCTTTCATGAGGTGTAGACTCAGTACTTCGTGTTTGATTTGGTACGTCGAGGTTAAAACCATCCGACAACATTGATTATATCAGATCTATTCCCACTGAATAACTTGCCGCTCGTGTACATGATTTAATGACCAATAAAAAGTGTTTAAGCGCTGGAAATTAATCCGACCGTAAAGGACTAACTCAACCGGGAACGAAAGAGAGTAAAGAATGAGTCCATACTAATTCAAAATAGAATGCTGTCAGTAAAATAAATCATATGCTTCATGATTTNTATGCTTCATGATTTCAGTGTTAACAACTATTTCGCTTAGACCCTCAGCCCCCCCCCCACCTCCCCAACTGAGATATCACCTAGTGAAAACAGCGTGACGATGCATAGCGCATGCTAACCATGGGTGTAATAACACAAATACTCTCCTCAGGTACAGATTTTTTCATCGGATTAATCAGATAGCTAACTACTTACCAGATAAGTAAAGATAAATCACGAGTTTGATACCGCATAATTCTGATGTGATGCGTATCCCGGTTATGCAGTGTAGTGACCAAATATCACTAATGCTTCAGTGCAAAATGTTCATATCGCTTTTTCTTTCATCCGAGAGAGTGTGTAAATAACAGTGTTCAAAAGAATACCATCGGCAAAACAGTCTATATCAAGCTTTATTATTACAATATCAAGGAAGAACGAAAAGAGAGTGTGAGATCAAATAAGAAAGGTTTTTGTGGATCCGTGTAAAATACAAGACAAGAAGAGATATCTGAAAAGAGAAACGGAGAAATTCATTGACAATGGATAGGAAGGATGAAACTTTTCCAATCACGGACAGACAAAAAACGGTTATTTTCTCCATATTTTTACTGCAGTAAAATAGGAAAACAAATGGCCCCTGCGATAACAATCATAGCTTACACTGAAAAAGCATCGTCCAGTTCATTGTGGGTCAGTGAACTCAACAGCTCAACGTTCGCAACTCAAATGCCTCAGGTTTTCATCTAACTTGCAGCTAGGTTACGTCGGAGCTCACTATGGAAAGCAGTGCTCATTACGTGATTGTACAATTTACTCTATCTTTGTGTAACAATGTTGCCCATGTGCTCCTACGCGGTTAACTGTAATATATAGAAAGCATAAACGACACTATTGTGCTGTACTTCACGCTAGAGGCTAAAGTATGATGCAAACGTTTCCGGATAATTTTAATTCTAGCGTGGCCGTGTTGGGCACGCGTTCTGTCTGTAACACAATTTGCGTCTGTTCAGTTTCTAATATCACACTAATTAGGGAGACAATTCGGAATGCTACAAAGTTTTGGTGCTTAGGCACCTACATACACAAATATTAGTGAATACCATATGAAGTCTCGACACGTATATATATATATATACTAATGTTGAAAACATGGAGCTGTGGAGCTGAATATCGCGGACAGTATATCTCGTATATCTCTTTCATTTCTGCACCCATCTAGTTTACTCTCAATATTTATTTTTATCTTGGTAGTACCAACAGCTTCTTACTTCCTTATTCTGCGGTAGAAAGACAGCAATCAAAACGGGCGCGCTTTAGTGAAAAACCATCAGCTTTGAGCTTCACAGTCACACTGAAGCAAAAATGAAAGCTTCAACTGAAGATCAGTGTTATTTGTAAAGAGCGAGTAGCCCTTGGGTAGGCCGGATTCTTTCACTGAATGATGGAATAAAGTGATTGCATGCACAAAACTCTACGCGCAAAAACACGCAGCTACACGTAAATACATGTAACTCTGAATGGTTTGACCTCATACCTCACGGGTTTTTGAGTTGCAGCTTGACAAGAACGTTCCAAGAAAATTAAAACTGTGTTAATCAAACTGAGACTCAGAATTTTCGTTGTTCCAACTACAACATATTTGACGTGACTAATTTACCCTTGCCCTTAATAATTCAGGAACAAAATGCGTAAACAGGAATAAACGACCATCACAACAGCTAGGAAAGTTACTAATAACCGGATGTAGAGATTAGTTGCAATCACTCAGTAAAGTGTAAACACCTAGAATAGCCAGATCAATATTAGCCGGCAAAGATAACGCAATACGTTTAGAGTTTAAGAATAACTCACGTGTTTAGTAATGTGGTGGCATTCCTGAGCCGTAAGGAGGCTGACCTGGCATCATTCCCGGTTGTCCAGGCATTCCAGGTTGTCCGTACATTCCATGTTGTCCGGGCATTCCATGTTGTCCGGGCATTCCAGGTTGTCCGTACATTCCATGTTGTCCGGGCATTCCATGTTGCCCGTGCATTCCAGGTTGTCCGTGCATTCCTAATTAGTGATATGGTCACAATTCTAACTACCACAACTTACCTCCGTGAGGATTACCCGGACAATAGCCATGTCCTCCCTGCCCCATACCCTAAAACAGGGAAAACATTGGCAAAATGTTTTTTAATGAGTTTCAGTTTAAAAACCCGTACCAGGTCAAAATACTGCCCAAAAAAGCTTGTGTTCGTACGATGCTTAAATTTCTTACTCAAGGCAACTTATATTCGTTTATTGTGGTCATTTTGAAAACAAATCCTAAATTGATAACGTTAAAGCATATTTACCTTTGCTCCTTTGACATGACCAGTAAAACAGTGAAAATCATTGCAATAATTCACCCAAGGCAAAGCCAAAGTTGCGCTAATCTTGGGGGTGGCGGCAGTTAACCAGTTCATGATTTCAAACCACGTTACCGTTGTTCTAATTTTGAATCACCTATTTCTTCCCATATATTGTCGACAATTTATTGTACTTTAGAGTAATTGAGTAGGGAAAAAGTGATATTTTTCATCGCTGTCTTTTTCCGCCTCTGCTTCACACACAACAGAATAGCTTGCAAGAAAATCGCAAAACATGATTTATTCCCGGAGGAGAATATTCAATGCGAGCGCGATAATGACGCTACGTGCGTGGAATAGGCAGAGAGGAAGAATCGCCGGTCCGACTACAAGTCTTTGAATGTGACGTAATTTAGAAAGAGCATATGTCGCTTATCTCGAAAGCTTCCTTCCCGGTAAATAATCTGGTTCACTTACGGAACCAATACGGCGTACGTTTGTTGCTGATTACCTTCAAGATTAGGTCTGCGATATCGGATTATAGTGGTAAAACGTTAAGACAGCTGAAAAATGCCTGAAAATGAGTTTTACACTCTGCGCCTGTCTCGAATAGTGGTTGCATGAAATTTGGAAAATCTGACAGTCCACGATGATATGGTTTAAATTTATATAACTTTTATTCGTTGGACTGAGTTTCTCTGATATGAGATAGTTAGCAGAACAGTTACATAATAGGCGAAAGGAATGCCGCTAGTTTCTGAGAATCAGGAGTAGCCAATTATGTGTATATATCATAATTATAACATACTAATAATATAATTAATATTAACACTACAATTATACATTATAATATTATGTAGTATGTTTCTTATAATAACATATATGTATATAATAACAACGCTAATATAATAACTGTTACTATACCATGGTTTACTAACAATTGCAATTGCAACTGCTAGTATACTGATTAATCGGTATATATACTGATTAGTAGTTAATATAGTTGGTTAGTATATATACTAACAATTGTTCAAAAACCTACTTGATACTTCTTCATGCAGTTTGTCCCACAGGCCATCATTCCTGCTGGACAATATCCACAAACACAACGGTTTTTCTACATCTGTGAGAATGAATGAAGTCTATTACCTTTTTCATTTTCCTATCATATTTAGCCTGCAGTTTTTGGGGATCATGGTGGTGGCGTCCACCGTCGGAAGAACTGGAAAAGGTCAGACAATGAAGAAATACCTGCTACTGCTGCTGCTGCTACTACTACGCCGATGTCCTTTCTTATCCTTCCCCATTGCAAAAATGATTTACCACAACGGGTTGGTCTAAACGTATTTTAAAAATGTGCCAAGGTCATTCTTGTTCAGGTCGGGTCAGGTTGCACAGCACGGAAAAGGCTTTCGCTAACCAAGCGTCCAGATTCTTGCTTCTGTATGAAGTTTTCTTCTTCCAAAGCTTCAAAAATCGTTTCAGTCGCTTTCTTGCACCTGTTTTGCGGCAGGAAACTGGTTCCCCCATTCA